AAATCTCCCGTGCCACGTATACCCTCATGGAAGTTTTTCAGATTTCGCTTTCAGTAAATGAGCTGTCTGTGTATACCCTAATGCACCTATGAGGATCCGTTTTCTGTCTAATAAAACCATTTCTTTCCTATCGTTCGTTTTTTAAGGCATGCAATTTTATTGTCATTATTTAATTTAGTTGTACTCATTGTTTGATAGGTCCTTCGCCAATCTGATTTTTCTTACTGTCGGCCTTATTTCACAAAGTCATTGTTTCGAACATACAACCAAGATGGGCACGGTGATTGACGAGGGTATGCACTACACTTATAAATTTCAAACGCGTTCCTAGCAGCTGGCTTGCCTGTTACGGACATGGACAAAATTTTCTCGGGTGTAGACAATCCTCTCAGTTTTCAGAGTGATTCCTCGATTTACGGATCGAGCTCATTAGAATTCATCATACCTCCGTCCAAGCCACCCATGCGTGTTGCGGAGGTTGTGAGCGAGAGAAATGTGAGACCGTCCGAACTGCCAACTGAAATGGACTTGAGAGGTATGTCTCCCAATCATGCACTCAAGTTGCCCACCTTTCGCCTTTTTTATTGTCTGTCATGCATGTTTTACTTCACCTAGCTGTCGCCGCTTCAAGGCGACTAAATCTGCCGGAAGTCAGTCCTATACGTAAGCTGCGTTCAAGTTCCTCGCTTTGCTTCCATTATCCGTTCGCCTGCGCTTTCTTTTGTTATGAAGCGTTGCCCATTTAGACTGCTTTAGGTATACGAGATGCGTGTCCATTTACGATATTCTTTTCGGGCGCTTTCTCCCACCCGACTTATTTTCAACAGGCTGTGCATTGTTTCTGTCCTGTGATGTGTCACATTTGTTTCTAATACTTTTTTTGCGAAACGCAAGAGTACAGTCAGGAATATAGAAAGTTACTTCGGGTGTGAAGTATTATATTGAAGATGTCGGAGATAGCTCACCATTTGCTACTAGCTTCACATAATCGGCCCCTTTTAACTGTTGGAGGTAGCTTCTTGTACCCTTTATTTCTATTTGGAAATGTATTGAGCGTGTATTGTATTGAGTTTGTGTCCGGTCGCCCATCCCCTTTAACTACGTCATTGACTGGGTTCTCGGGAAGGCTCTACAGGAAAGTGACGGTATTGAGCTCGCACCCGGGCGCCGGTTGACTGACCTCGACTATGCCGGTGATATCGCTTTACTAGCTTGAAGCTTTGGCGATCTACG